CAGTTTGGCTCAAGGAAGGGAGTGCAGGAAGAATTGTTTCTAGATGTTTCCTGCCCTCCCCACCCCCAGTACCATCTGTAGCTGAGCAGCTGAACCCTATTGCCTTTGCTATAGTCTGCCCTCTGGCTGGTCTCTCAGGCCAGAATGTGCACTCACAGACCATGGTTCCTACTCTGGGCTGAATTATGATCCCCCAACAGATGTTGAAGCCCTCTCCCCAAGATCCTGAGAATTATTATTTTTTATTTTGTTGGTTGCAGGGCTTGAACTCGGCCTGGGCGCTGTCCCTCAGCTCTTCAGCTCAAGGCTGGCGCTCTACCACTTGAGCCACAGTGCCACTTCCAGTTTTCTGGTGGTTCATTGGAGATAGGAGTCTCACAGACTTTCCTGCCTGGGCTGGCTTTGAACTGTGATCCTCAGATCTCAGCCTCCTGAGTAGCTAGGATGACAGGTGTGAGCACCAGCGCCCGGCTCTGAGAATTAATATTTTTGAAAATAAAGTCTTTATAATGATCCAGTTAAGATGAGGTTATTAGAGTAGCCTGACTCATTGGTCTGTCCTAGAAGGAGAACCACCATGGCTCACACAGGGAGGGAGGGAGGATTCCCTGTGAGGGCAGAGGTAAAGGTCGGTGATGGAGGCACAAGTTGGAGAATGTCAGTGATGGCAGACCACTGAGGAATCACATGGGTTATTGCCACCCCCCCCCGCCCCGCGCCCAGCTCTCAGAAAGACCTATGCTGACAACGCCTTTCCCATCGAACTCCCAGCCAGCCTCCACTGTTAGGAGACTGTGACAGTATCCATTCTGGTCGCCCTGTGTTGTGATGTTTTCTTTCAGCAGTCCTGGGAGACTGACTCTCTCAGAGCCTTCATAATGAGACCTCTGTCAGTCCGCAGCTCCCGTAACTCCACCTCAACCTGCGCATCAAATGACTGTGCTCACTTGTTGGCTGCAGCCACAGCCTCACAGTTTGTGCTCTTGGCTAAGATCTACTTGTCTGCAAGTCCTAGCGCTAGCCCATTGTGTCTGGACTCTCACTGACTTTGCAATCCAGCCCAAGACCCAGACTGCCACCCCAAAGATGGCCACACATGTATCCAGAACAGCACTTGCCACTGCTCATCATGATTGTCTTCTTTGTCCCTCCTTCAGACCAAGAGCTTGAAAGCAGGCACACCGAGTCTCCAGTGCCCACATGAATCGCCACCTAAAAAAAAAATACTTCTCCCTCAGTGTTTCTCCTTGTGCCTTAGGCTCCCAGCAGGATACCCCAGAGATACATCCAGGACAAGGAACTAACTGCCTATGCCTAGCTCTTAGCTTCATGCTGGTGAATGTGGTGTGTATTCTCCAGCAGAGTTTAGATGAGGCCGATGTGAACAGAGGTGACACAGTCCAGCCTTTGGTTTACTATTACAGCTGGCCCTCAGCATCTGCAGGTGCTGAGTCCATGGAGTCTACCAACTGCAGATTAAAACACTCAAGAGGGCTGGGAAGGTGGCTCAGTGGTAGAGCGCTTGCCTTGCATGCATGAGGCCCTGGGTTCCATTCCTTAGCACCACATAAGCAAAAAGAAAAAAAGCCGGAAGTGGTACTGTGGCTCAAGTGGTAGAGTGCTAGCCTTGAGCTGAAGAGCTGAGGGAAGGTGCCCAGGCCCAGAGTTCAGGCCCCACAACTGGATCCCCCAAAAAACAAATAAAAAAATAAAACACTCAAGAAAAAAATTAACGTTGCATTTGTCTCCCTTCAGTTAGTCCCTAAACAAAAGTGTCACAACATAGCACCGACATTACAGTAGGTTCATGAGTGACCTGCAGATGACTTAAAGCATGTAGCAGGGCTGGGTGCTGGTGGCTTATGCCTGTAAATGCTAACTACTTGGGAGGCTGAGATTCTGAGAATTGTGGTGAAGATGAGGATAAGACTCTCATCTCCAATTAACCAGCAAAAAGTGGAGGTGTGGCTCAAGTGGCTCAAGTAGAGCACCAGTTTGAGCAGAAAAAGTTAAGCAAGAGTGCAATCCTCCAAACCAGCACACAATCCAACAAAATAAAGCACCGAGTAGGAGTGGTGGAGCTAGCTTTCATATACTGAATATATGACAGTACTTTATACAAGGGATTTGAGTATATGAAAATTCCGGTCTCTCAGTGGGGCCCTGTATACATGGTCTCTCAATGCCCTGTGCACATGGAAAATACCACTGACTTTATTATATCAGAAGTAGCCAGGTCAATTATGCATCACTGACACCATGATGCTCCCTGTAAAACAGGACAGGTATGTCAGGAGTCTGTCGAAGTGCAGAGAGGGAGAATTCTCATGAAGCGCATTTGCCAAAACTGCAGCACTAAATGGTACCACAAGGCACCAGGGAATGGTACACAGTTAGACACACTGAGTCCCTGAATGAGCTCGATGATTCTGGCATCTACCACTTTTAGTAAAGTCTCAGAACACAGAATCTGGGTTCCCAGTGGCAACCCCCCTCCCCAATCCTTCCTCCTTTCCCCCTCCGTGGCCCATCCTCTTTCTGGTGTTCAGGCTAGCAGGCAAATAAGCATCATCTACAAAAGACAGAGCCAAGCAGGATTTACAAAAGTCACCTGTATTCCAGCCAAAATATCTTTAAAAAAGAAATCCCTTCAAAAGGGGAGAGAAAGAACATAAGACTCCATACACTGAAAATATGTATTGAAATTACAAAGTCAGACTATTCCATATGATTCCAAAGTTACAAAACACAACAAGAAAAGGCATTCAAACATCTCTTTATACATCACAGTGTTAGTGGCACAACACGGACCGACACCGCACAAAAACACACACCCCATTTGTTTTGCTTTTGTTCTACCACCACTTGTCAAATGTACATGATGTCTGCATATGCGTGAGTCCTTCATGCATATTATTTTACAAGACTCAGATACACCCAGGGCGAAGTGAGGAAAGCACAGCAGTCAGGCATGTGGCACATGGCGACCCCTGGCCGAGGGTCGTGGAATGGGGGAAGACGGGATTTCACATGTCAGATGGGGGCCGAGGACCAAAACAGCATGCGCTCCAATGGAGATGCATTGACAACTATATCTCAATGCAGGTAAGAGGATCCTTTGCTACTTTTGGGGGTTTTGGTAATAACCAGTCATCAATCTGTTTTGTTTAGCTTCCTAAGGGCTTAGGCTAATTATATGGAATAAACAAGCTTTGGTATTTTTTTAAAAGAGGCCTTCATGAAGCTTTTTACATGCAAAACGTTCTCCCTTGATGATTTCATTGTGATTTACATATATACACAGGTGTCTTGACTTCTAAATGGGAATCCGGGAAATTTACAGAAAGCCCACCCCAGTCCTTTCCAATCTTGTGAGTTTTAAACATTACCAAGGGGAAAAAATTCTCTTCCAATTGGTGAAATAATGTTGGTAACATCCAGGGATAAATACGTCATGAAGTTCTGTGGTTTTGGTATCTGACAGCCTGATCCCCAGCCTCCAGGTCCTATGTCCTACCAAGTCCCGGCCGGGGTCCCGCAGCGTTTTGAAATATGGAACACGCTGTGAAAATCCAGTGCTGCAGCTGTCAGCTGTGGGTCCTTTCGTCTGAGCTCCTGGGAGCTGAGGAGGAGGAGGTGCTGTGGACAGAAGCTGATAAGGCTCTAGATTTTGCTCTTGCTTGGGTGCTAAATCAGCCTCCATTCTAGGAACTCCCACAGGGACACCTAGGAGGAGGCAAAGCCTGGCTAGATGGACTACAGGATGTACAGCAGAGATCAGACACAGCCAGAGGAACCCACCAATGTGGTCAGCTGCTAAGGTATCTCAGGTACCCTTCTGGGTCAGCCAGGTGTCCCCACAGGGCAGCCTGCAGGGGCCCTGGGCCTGCCACTGAGGGCCTTTCCCTCTACCCTACCACCTTTACTGTGGTGAATGAACAGCACAGGGCCTCGCTGGGTGAAGTGGACATGCTCTGTAGGAGATCAGCCTTCACAAACTTCATGCTCGGCTTGGATAAGCCATGCTGCGTGTCTATCTGAGTCTGCTCAGCTCATGCCTCTCCACGTTGCCCTGGGAATTGACAAGACCCACTGCCGTTTTCAAGCAGCACGCTCCTGGACATTGGCAGCACTTACTGAAAGAGAGGGAGGCCCCCAGAGTAAATGGGGGTTTATGACCTCAGTGTGACCTTGCTGGTGGCTCATGACCGACTCAAACCTAAATGTGCTGAAGCAAAAGCTCAGAGCAGGTAGGAGCAAATCAGACAGCCCCTGGCTGACCCCGGAATCACCCTGACCCTACCTGGATCAAGCATGTGCTTGGAGGACACACCGGAAGTAAAGGCACAGCATGGTTGGGGCTGCTGATGAACACAATTCGGTGAGAGACACTCTGCTCCTTTGTGGACGAGGAAGAGAGCCAAATCCTGGGCATCCAGCCTTCTCAAAGGCTCCGGCTCCCACCGCCCCCACAGGACGGTCTGCAGTGGGAGAGACTTGCGCAGGTGCAGTTGGCAGTTGCTACCCTGGGTGGGAAGGCTGGAGCAGTGTGAAGAGGGGCCCCGGGCACACCGGACAAAGGACCACAGGCTGACCACACAGCCGCAGCCAGGCAGCCATACTCCCAAATTACAGATGGAACTCTCAAGCCCCGGCCTCTTGCCTCGGGCTAGAGCGGTCAGCCCATCCCAGAAAAACCAACTCAGTTCTTCACAGTGTCTCCAACCAGAGACTCGGGGCCTGAGGGTCACCTGTGAAGACACACTCAGGTATGTTCTTATCCAATTTGTTTGTTTGTCCAGGTACTGGGGCTTGAACTCAGGGCCTCTCCCTCTACCTAGACCATTTCACTCAAGATGGAAACTACACCACTTGAGTCACATCTTCACGTCTGGCTTTTTTGCTGGTTAACTGGAGATAGAGTCTCATGGACTTTTCTGTCCGGGCTTCAAACCTCGATCCTGAGATCTCAGCCTCCTGAGTACGTAGGACTACAGGTGAGAGCCATCAGCACCCAGCTTCTTATCCAAGTCTTGAACTTTGAACTTTGAAGCTGTAACTACACAGAGAATGTTTGGGCCAAAGTTTTGACACAGGACGGATCTTCTAAATGGCTTTAATCTCGTGAGAAAATGGGTTTCAGCCATGAAAAGAACAAATGGTTGTGTTTTTCCTCAACTATTCACTGTCAAGAAATGAAGATGATCTTTCGGGACAGGGAGGGGCACCAGGACCTGAGACTGATCACACACTGTGGACTCACACACACACAGTCACACAAAACCGTATTTTAAAAATGAGCTAGCAATGAAAAAAAAATAACAGATTAGAAAGGATTTTGTTTTGTTTTACTTCTTTGTAGATTCCTTAATCTGCCTCCAGGAATCCCTCCATGGGGACTCCACAGCACGTGCCTTTGTTGCTGGTTAGCACGCTTGGCTTTGGGAGTCAATTCTCTTTAAAGGAAGCATGTTGTCCACTTGTCGGATTTGAAGGACAGAGAACAGTGCAGCTTCATATCCATCCGGGCTTTGCGTTGCTGTGGAAACAGTCCCACACGGCCCTGGGAAAAGCCACATGATCCCATCCCACGTAGAAAGAGCTAAGCAAAATGGCGGGTGATTTCCCAGCAGCCACAGTCAGCCGGTTAGCGACAAGGCTGGGCTCGAACTCCATGAGACACAAAATTTCTCCAAGAAAAAAATGTGAAAATCCAGAAAACTCTAGCTGGCCTCTTAAGAGCCCCTCAGCTGTTAGCAGAAACCCTGACTTCCAAGTGTAAATAATGCACACTTCGAACTGTGCACTTGAAAACGAAAGCAAGAGGCCAAACTACAGTGACTCTGAGTGGAACTACTTCCAAAGAAGATATTTGGTTCAAAGATATGCGAAGGTATGCTGTTGATGAGCAGGGAGGTGCCCGCCCGGTGAGCTGGCTGAATCACCAAAGAAGAACAAAAGGCAAACCTAAGTGGGAATGACGTTCCTCTAAACGTGTCAATGTTTTCAAAGTGATGTAGTGTATATGACCCACGTTTATAAGAATATGCAGCTTACAGCATTCAAAAGGTATTACAGCAAGTTTCAGTAAAAACACAGAGTGAATAAGGCTTTCTAAATCTCCTGAAAATGGGTCAAAGCCAGGAAAGTCATTTAACTCTAACTTCTTAAAATGCACATTTCCAGAAAGGCATAGGATGGCATATATGCACCTTGTTGATTTTTCACTACTCAGTTGGAAAAAAAAGCCTCTCCTAAAAAGGATTTTACTAAACGCCTTGAGTAATAAAAAAAAAAAAAGTTGTCCTAAACAGAGTGCTTGTCTCAAGTGGGAATCACTGGCTTCTGTCTGAAGAGAGCTGGAATCCTTAAGACTTCATCCTTCACCAGCAGGACGCCATCTTGAAGCAGAGGAGGAAATGGACAAAGCTTTGTCTAATCAGAACTCTTAACCTGCACCAGACAATTCCCAGACTCCAGCCGTGGTAGGAAACTGCCTGGAAAACTGCCTACCAGGCCATCGACCTGGTCTGCAGAGACTGGATCTGTGGGACACACTACTGGGCCTCGCCGTGCCCACGCCCAGGTGACCGCGCCTGCGGCCTCAGCGAGCCTGCTGGTGTCCCTGACATCGTGGCATCCAGCCTGACGCTGTGAAGCTCCGTGGGGCACATAAGGCAAGATACACGTTTAGTGAGCGGAGAGTGGTGGGCTGGGGAGCCGTGCTTCTCGAGGCAGGGGTCTCTCCCGGCACCGGCCATCGTCTAGGTGGGTAAGGGGTCGTCATCACCTTTGCCGCACTTGCATTTGCAGCAGAGTACGAAGGGAGTGGCCAGGAGCAGGAAGGGAGAGGCCACCAAGAGTAGAAGCCCAAATCCAGCAAAAATCCCCACGACCTGGAAGAAGAAAACCAAACAGGAAAGAGGTAAGAAGGGCTGGTGTGTAGGTTCCATGGCTGAAGTAGAAACCACACAGCCACCTACCTACCCACCTATCCATTCAGCCACCATGCATCTACACATTCCTGTATCCTCTTCTCTCCATCCATTGAAACACCCATCCAGCCATCTACCCACCTATCCAACCAACCAGCTATCTACGCATTCATCCACCATCCCCTCCATCCATCCACACATCCAGATATCCATCCATCATCTATTTACCCAGCCATCTATTTCTCTATCAATCATCCACCCGCCTTCCCACCAACCTGGAGCCACCCACCCATTTCCTTCCCTTCCCTTTCCTTTTTTCCTCCTTCCTGGATCCCCTTCTCCTCCCTTACTTTCTCTCCTCTTCATCCATGCCTCTAATTAACCAAAGAGAGCCCCAAGATCCCACTCTTATCTAGACAATAACCTAAGCACCATATACACAAAGTACTTGTATACAAGGGCACTGGATGCTTTTGCCCTCAAAGATGGCCTTGTCTGGTAGAGAGACCAAGAGTTCATCAGTGGATATCAATGTATCTTAGGAAATTGCCTTCAGGTTGTGAATAAGCGCTGGACGCTTCCATTTGTTAGAGAGAAGTTGAGCTCCCAGGGGGTGGAGGCTGAAGTAATGACCCAGCCCTGGAATTTCTAGGGTTTGAAGCATAATGGTGAGTGTTACACAGTTTAATTTTTGTTTTAAAACATATTTATCCCTAGCTGTGTGCAAATGCTGGAAGGAATAAGCTTCTAATGTAGACATGCTGTTGTCTAAATCAGGCAGTACAGCTGTTCCAAGGAGGCTCAGTTTGCTTTTGACTAGCCTGTCCATCATCTGTGTTCCTCCCAGCTCATGGAGTTAGACCACCACCCAGTGGTGACAGAGATGAAGTACATGCACGCACTGGGCATGGGGCTCAGATGCTGTCATTTTCCTTAAGTCTGTTGTGCCCTTCAGCTGGACCCCAGGAGATGCCCTTTCCAGACCTGCACACAGGTATTGTGATTAACAGTCAGAAACTGTCTGTCTGTCCTTCCTAAGGGTCAGCCTTTGGCTGAAACGAGCTGCCCACTAGCCACGCTGGACCTGGGTAAAACATCTTTTCCTTATCGCTCAGAAGAGCCAGCATTGGATAAGGCTTTCCTCTGGCAGGTGCCAGCATCCTAAAAGAGAACATCATCAATCTGCCGGCTCTTCTACGTGTTGGCTTGATTCTGGGATGGTGCTTGGATAATGCCCACACACCCTCTACAGCTCAGCAGTGGTAGGGTCCAGAGTAAAGGCGCAGGAGGTGGATGATCAGATGGAGGCCCACACACGGGCACCGTGGAACCCTAGAGGTTGTGGGAGCTATGGCTGGTATGAGAAGTCTAACAGGAGAATACGAGTGGAGAAAGCCTGATGCCCGCAGAGAACTGCTGCAGGATGTTGGCGTGGTCCTGTGTGTGCGCTGAAAGCAGAAAAGACAGAGGACGCTGAGTATCGCAAACACCGGGACGCTGAGTGTTGACCTCACACAGCGAACTTGTCCCAAGACCGGCAGAGCGCCTGTCCTTCACTTTGCCTGATCTCTGCCACATCCTGACAACCATTATCTATCTTCTAGAATTCGCCCTTTGTTCTGAGAATGGAAACCGCCCCAAGCTAAACATGTATAGAGAAACATGTATTGGAGAAAGCTCAAGAGCTTTGGGGTTCTGTCTTGTTCCTCTTGACCCTCGTATGCTTATGGGTCTCCAGTATCCCCTTACTCCTCTCCCACTATCCAGTGCATGGCTCTGGCAGGGAACTCAGCAGCTAGTGACACAGGAGCCAGCTCTCCGGCGATGTGCCACAGAGCCAGCCCAGCCCCCCTGAGATCTCTTTCCTGTTTCTTTCCACAGGAAGCACAGGATATCAAGTACAAACCCTACCACGCGGAACTAAGTAAATCATGCAAAACCTTGAGGGGACAAAGATGTCATTTTTTGTTTGTTGTTGTTGTTGTTTATGGCACTCCGTCTCCTTGTTCAGAAGGGTACTGAGCAAGATACGTTTGGTGTAAAACATGATAACTCCATGCATAGAGTAAAAGTGAGCTGCAGTAGTCTCTAGAGGCACAGAAGATGCAAATCTCTTGGGAAATTTTAATCACTTTCACGTGGTGCAAAGGTGGGAAGAGTCACAGAGACAAACCCCACAAGAATGACAGATTATCCTGTAAGGGCGTCACCTCCAAAATTAGGGGAACAGCACAGGGAAGTTCGGGTGTAGTTTTGAGACTCTCGGGCACTGCCAGCAGGGCACGGGCCTGCATGGTAGAGAAGGGTCCTCCTTGGTGCACAGGAAACTGGTGAATTCTAGGCATGGGCCTCTGCCAGGGACTGTGCACCCAACCCGCTGTCGTCAGGATCGGGACTTGGGAAACAGAACCGAGTAGGGAGCGAGAGAGTTGAGCATGGCATCCATAAGGGTTACAATGTACATAACCCTCAAATACGATTCAAAAGCTTACGACCTGCCGTGGTCTAGCTGCAGGAAGTCGGGTGGGAGCAGACCTTAAAGACAGATGGAGGAGATGTAGGCGGGAGAGAAGAGAAGCAGCTAGAATCAGAGAGTCCGGGGTGGAAAAGGAGGATGGCAGGCTACTCCAAGAGAGTTCTTCAGAGAGACGGCCAGGCTGGCACTAGCTGCTCTGTAGAGACGGAGGTGGGGCTCACGACTCTGTGGGCCCAGGAGTGTCATGAAGAAAGCCTTCTGATTGTGTCCTTGGGCATTTTACTCTGATGCTCTAAACCCTTCAATGTCTCTGACTGCCAGGCAACACGGCACCCAGGCGTCTCCAGGTCCAGGCATGCTCTTCCAGATAGTTCTAAGCCTGCACCGGCCCCGGCTCCTCCCGCAAAGCACTGGCTGGACCTGGCTTCCCGTCCCTTGCCTTGAGCTTCCAGCCGGACTGGTCAATGAGAAGCACTTCCTTGCTTCCAGTGCTCATTCTGCTTTGCAAGCTCAGGAGCGCCCAGAGCCCTGCCCCCTCCTGGGAGCTCTGTGTGGGGAAAGCAGCAGCAGAACCCAGGCCCTGCCCGCCCGCCTCCGAAGCACAGCTGCTGGCAGAGAGCAAGGGAAGGGGTGACACTGTCCAGAGAGAAACGCACCTACTACCTGACTAAGCTGCAACCCCTCTGCCTTTCTACATCACCTGCATAGTATCGCCTTTACAATAACAAAGCGAATTTAAAAAGGCCAGCCGGTCCTCACTTCATCCAGTTACCCCTGACAGGACCCCTGTGTCCAGGACACAGGACTAGCAAGCAGCCCCTGCCACCAAGAACACACAGGTGCTTTTGAGATGAAACACAGGAGTAGAGAGGAGGCCAGTGAGCGGGGGGTGGGGAGGGGGAGGCCATGAGGGATGCCCCATTCCGGATGGAGAGCAGGAGACTCGATGTTCTCACATAGGACGTGGGGCCTGAACGGGGTGGGACAAGGGCAGCCTGGACAAGCAGGGCTGGGTGTAGACAGGACGCAGAGGGTCGCGAGGACGGATGGTACGTAACAGCAGGCGCAGGGCCACAGAGAGGCAGAAGGGAGCTTTGCTCCTGAGAAGCTTTGCTCCTGGTGGTGTGGCTAAAGCAAGGGGAAGGAGACGGCTTGGCCCAAGGGCAGAAAGCTTACAGCAGGTTCCTCTCCCATGCTGCTGGGGCTCTCTTAGCCCTCAGTGTGATGTGGTAAGGACACTGGGGAACACCAGCTGAAAGCGCTTTGTAATAAAAACAAAGTGTAACAGACCCACAGGACCATCCACAGGTCCCCTGAGAACCAGGCACAGGCATGACGCCGGTCCGCAGAGGACATGAGGGACCCGGCTGGGTCCAAGCCCAGGAGCCGGGCAGCAGAACGAGGATCCAAGCCCAGGAGCCGGGCAGCAGAACGAGGATCCAAGCCCAGGAGCCGGGCAGCAGAACGAGGATCCAAGCCCGGGAGCCGGGCAGCAGAACGAGGATCCAAGCCCGGGAGCCGGGCAGCAGAACGAGGATCCAAGCCCAGGAGCCGGGCAGCAGAACGAGGATCCAAGCCCGGGAGCCGGGCAGCAGAACGAGGATCCAAGCCCGGGAGCCGGGCAGCAGAACGAGGATCCAAGCCCGGGAGCCGGGCAGCAGAACGAGGGTCCAAGCCCAGGAGCCGGGCAGCAGAACGAGGCCTTTCTAGGCAAGGGGTCACGTTGTGGCTGCCCAAACCACAAGAAGAAAGGTCATGGGCGCTGTCATGTGCTGGCTTTCGTTAGCACGGAGACCACTGCGGGCCCCAGGATGGGGCCTGAGGGTCCCTCGAGTGATGGCTACGTGTGGACCTCACTGCTGCTGTCTTACCCTTCACAAACTTGGGTCCTTTTGTGACGGGCCATAGAACCCTTTAGGACGCTCGTGGGACTGAGGCCTGTGCCCACCTGTGTGATGTCTGTGTGACAGCAGGCCGCCCTGGGGCCCCAGCAGGGCACTGTGGGGCTCACAGGCAGATGCGGGTTTCCAGGTGTCCTCTGCCTTTTCTCTGCCAACAGAGGAGGGTCTGGCAGTGTAAATGGCCTCCTTACAGTTTCTGTGTTGCTAACGTGCATGCTAGCAGTGTCGTTGGCCAGGAAGCTACTGCTATCACAAGCTCTAGAAGACTTGGCTCGTTTCTAGCCAATACATGTGCTGACTACACTTAATGTGACCACCCAGGTGACAGAGAGAGGATGATTGCAGTTATGCCTTCCTCTCCCCCTCTTCTGTGGCATCTACCCTTGCAGCCCAGCCGCCATCTTGGTGGGAAGCTCAGGCCACATGAGGAGACAAGGAAAGGGTATCTGACCAACAGGTGGAATTCTGTCTGTCCAAACAGTACATTCAACTTTTAACCTACAGTGCTTCAGACTGTGGCCTCCATTGGGAACCCAGTCTTTGTGGATATAATCAAGCAAAGACATGATTAGTGGGGTGAGCCTTAACCTGATATGACTATAATCCTTACATATACAGGGAATTTGAACCCAGAGACTGACACGCATAGGGAACAAAGTGTGAGGACATGGAGAGATGATGGCCCTGTGTAGGCAGAGGGCTTGAGTGGCACATCTCAAGCCAAGGACTGTGAAAGAGGGTGGAGGGAGGGAAGGAAAAAGGCAAGGAGGAAGGAGGGAGGGAAAGGAAGGAAGAGGGAAGGAGGGAGAAGGGAGGAGAGAGGGAAGAAAAGGAAGAAGGGGGAGGGAGGAAACGAAGGAGGGGGGAGGGAGGCAGGAAGGGGAGGCCAACAGGTTCCAGAGGAAGCATGGTCTTGGCCAGTTTGCAGAGCTTTGTCCCAGCAAAGTGGAAACAGCAGGAACACTGAAGCTGTAGGTGCCCCAAGGAAGGGCAATGCCAATAAAGTCAGACCAACTCTCAGGACCACCGGCCAGCCAGCAGAGGTGCCTGGGTCAAACCAGGCCACCGTCCATGACATCTTTGCAGGACAAGGAATGGGACATACTCGTGAGGGACAGCTCCGAAGCTCTCACTACTTGTTGAGGCAGCCACCCCTGGGGGTGGATCAGACCCCACTGCAGTCTGCCTGGGGTGTGCAAATGTGTGTGCCTTTGGGCCTCCGGTGGAGCTGACTGCTGCAGAGAGGCCACAGTGTCGGTGGGACCCTGGTGCTTCCCAAGTGCCCCTCGCAAGTCAGGCAGTGCACCTGCTGCAGGCACAGATGTGCAGCTCAGCGAGGGGCCGGGTGCCGGTGGCACACGCCTGTCATCCTAGCTACTTGGGAGGCTGAGATCTGAGGATGACAGTTTGAAGCCAGCTCACACAGAAAAGTCTGTGACATGCTTATCTCAAATTAAGCACCAAAAGCTGTGGCTCAAGTGGTAGAATACCAGCCTTGAGTTTGAACGAGCTAAGGGACCACATCCAGGCCCTAAGTGCAAGCCTCAGTCCTGGCTGAGGAGGGGGAAGAGAAAGAAGATCTTTATTCAAAGTCTAAGCATCACTTTGCACAAGGGCCTTTATCACCTCCCCAAGCTGCAGACATCACCAAGTCCGAAGTAACTGCATTCCTCACTCTCTCTTCCTTTTACCAACTTGCCCCTGATAGAAGGTTCTTTGCTACAGGGAGCACCAGGATTAATAAACCATGGTCAGCAGACAGACAGATCACAGCCAAGGTCATAAAAGTCTGATGTCAGAGACATTCCGAGTGCGAATTGGGCAGAGATTGCCTCGAACCCTGGTCTAGGCATAAGTTCAGCCCAGTGAGGGGCTCTTTCCAGATGTCTTTCTGTATAGCAGACCCTCAACCAGCTGGTAAATCTAGAAACACACATACACATGCATGCACATGTACGCACACACACTTCCTCTCTCCCTGTGAGAGTGAGGTCGTGGGTGAGCCACCTCTTACCTGCGTCCGATGCCAGATCACGGATGCGCGGGAGTGGCCCAGCTTGTTCCGGCAGGGCCCCTTATCATAATGGATCAGGAGGAAGTCGTCCTGCGAAGCACAGACAAGGCAGGGGTGAGTGGGGGTCAGCGTGGATCACCGCACTGAGCGTTCTCTATGTGTGGGATAGGGGGTGGCAGCCGGGGAGGCCCACACGGCACTCCTGGCCACCAGAGGGAGCTGGCCAGCTCTCACTCTGCGGCCCAAAGAAAGGGCTGGGAAATGGAAGCATTTCCAGAGTGTAGAAAAGAGGATGTTGCTGGAAACACCAAGAAATGATGGTTTCTTTACATAGAAATACTGATCTCTCTGAGGTCCCCTTGTAAAAGATGCATCAAATTTGCACACACCATAAATAAGAACAATAATGGGTCAATAAATTGTTCAAAACGTTGAACTAGCTGAGAGAGAGAGAGAGGGAGAGAGAGGGAAAGGGAGGGAGAGAGAGAGAGAGAGAGAGAGAGAGAGAGAGAGAGAGAGAGAGAGAGAGAGAGAATGTTGAATACACAAGGCTCAGGCAGGCACAGGGGCCTGCCTGTTGGATCCCACGCGATGAGGTTCTGCAGCTCCTTCCAGAACCCCACCTGGGAAGTGCTGCCCCTCAGCACACGTGCCCAGTGCTGTTCCAAGCACCTCCTCCCACGACTTCTGTTCAGAGCACGCACAATCCCCTCCTGTTGCACAGAGCGTCTAGTTTGTGCCTTCCTCCACCGGCACGCAGCTCACACGCACGCAGCTCACCCGCACGCAGCTCACCCGCAACTTCCCATCACCGGACCCTCAGCTGCCCGGCTCCACATGGCAGATCCAACCTGCCCTGTCACTGCCCAAGGCAGAATCCCCACAGGCATTCCAGCATGCAGAGAACACTCAGCAGCACCTGCACGTGGGCCCGGCCCAACCTACCCAGACCAAGCACCCGTCAGGACAGGCATGTTTACTCATTTCACTGACTGCAAATAAGCAGGAGCCCCAGGTGACAAGAGAACCCCAAGGCGCTTTGCTGAAATCAGGCAGAGGCAGGGAACAGGAGGTGTCTTCTGGTCTTCAGATCAAAAAGGCAAGAGTCCTGTAGTGGCCTAGACCAGGCCTGGCCTTCTCCTAAAGGCCGGGCGCCCCTGGTTACCGGTGCCTGGTGAATGAGCCCTCACTCAGCCCACACCGCCAGGGGCACAGCAGCTCCACCCAGGGCCCACTGCTTGTTCTCAGCTACTGCGGGCCTCACATCCATGATAAAGTAATTTTTCTGGGAAAAACAAAATTGTTGAGGCAGCAGATAAGACAGTCTGTGGCTGGTATAACCACCCTGCCTGAGAAACACCCCAAGACTCCTAATCCCACACCCCACGACCATCAGATCAAAAAGCAGGAATAATGCCCTGCAGCCAGACAAATGGGTGTCACAGCCCGATGACAAGGCAGATGCTTGCCAAGCAAAATGAAATTCCCCTCATGGAACATGTGCAGTATGCGTTTAGCTTATCGTTGAGCGAATACTTGGGGAGACCCCTAATTAAGGCCTCGTGTGCTGCTTATCATTAATATTACCATAGCAATGCATTCTGGGAATGTGCAGTTGAAAAACTGTCATATAAACACCACTTGCCACTCAAAATTTTCCATCATGAATCGCACCCCCCTTGCTTCCTCCCCACTCCCCCCACCCAAGAGAGAAACCCTGCAACCCTGCCCTAGTCTCCCACATCATTCCTCAGGGCTTCGGAGCTCCCCGGCTCTGGGCGGCTACCATGCTGTGGAGCATATTACCACGTTACTTTTATGTCCACAAACCTGTTCTTTCTCTTATTACTGGCACACCTAACAAATACCACCACCCTGCAGTAACAGTATACTAAAATGATTTATGTTGACAGGCACCAGTGGCTCATGCCTGTCATCCTAGCTACTCAAGAGGCTAAGATCTAAGGATCATGGTTCAAAGCCAGCCCAGGCAGGAAAGTCTGTGAGACTCTTATCTCCAATGAACCACTAGAAAACCAGAAGTGGCACTGTGACCTCAAGTGGTAGAGCGCTCGCCTTGAGCTGAAGAGCTCAGGGACAGCGCCCAGGTCCAGAGTTAAGCCCCATGACCGACAAAAAGAAAAAAGAAAATGATTTATGTAACATGGTATATAACTCTTAGGTAATAACTATATAATTCATACAAATAAAATACTCAATGCTTTTAAGAAGGGTAGATATTTGTGACTCACAAGACTCACAAAATGCTTTTGTTTCCATGCATATTATTTTTGTTCTTCTATCATACATTAATTATGTTTTATTGTGATATTTCCTTCCCTGAATACAACACACTTTGATTGAATTCATCTTCTCTATTACTAATGCTTAGCCTCTTCCCTCCATGGTTCTGGGGCTTGAATTCAGGGCTCTGCCCTTGCTAGGCATGCACAGCTATAAACTTTCTGCTGAGACACTGCTTCTGCTTTCTCAAAGGTCCTGGAAGGCCAGGTTTGCATTTTCATTTGAGTCTCTGTACTTTATTGGGTTAGGGTCCACTTGTGCTTTTCTGTCTATGGTGTTCATTTTATTTGGTGTCTGGTGCATACGTGTTTACAATATATCTCTTCATGTTGAATCATTCCTTCATCAATATCAAGTAAAATTCTTTGCCTCTTCTAGTTTTGGCTTCCATTGTACTTTCTCAGAAATGAAGACAGCCACTCCTGCTTATATCTAGTCTGTACATACTTGGAAAATCTCTACCCATACTTCTGCTTTAATTCCGTCTTTACTTGTATAGCATATTTCTTACAGGCAACAAATAATGGCTTTTTAACCAAATCTGCCACTCTGTATATTTTGTTTATAGAACTAAGACATTCAAAGTTATGCCTGAAAGGTATGTAAGAATTTCTGTTCGATCATTCCCTACTTTGCATTTGCTCATCTACTCATCTACAGGTGATTCTTTCTTGTATTTCCATCATTGTTTACATTATTCCTCTGCAAGTTTGATTTCTTTAAGCCAGCCAAGTGACCATGACTTCCTTTAGCTGCAATTTATACAAAAAGGTTCCATTGCTTCTTTGTTTATAAGGACCATACTGCTCAGTATAGTTATCTGGGTTGACGTATTTTCTTTCAAGGCTTGTAAAGATCATTCCATGTGTACCTTGCTTGTGATACGTGTGTTGAGGAACCTGCTATTATTCTGAGAGGTGACTTGGTACTCTAATTACGCTCTGCTTGTTTTGTATGCCTGGCATTGTATAACATGCCTTCAAGAAGCTCTTTTCCTGCCTTTTCCCTTTAGAGTCCCAGGAGCCACTGCAGCGGGATGACCATCTGTTTCTCAAGAGTTTAGATATTTGCTGCTATGCATTCACTGTGCATTTTCATGCCTTTGCTGGTACTTCTTCTATGCCCATCATTCATAGGTTTAGTCTTTCACCCATGTCCTACACATTCACTCATGGTTCTTTTTAACTCTTGGAGTCACCTGCATATTTTAGTACATCTGTGCCTTTTCTTCAAGCCCTGGGGAGATTTTCAACTGAGTTTTTATTTGATTTATTGATTTAGTTTCAAATTTTTAATTGACTCTCCAGAATTTCTGCGTATTTAATTCTTTTATGTCTCACATTGTCTTCATTTCATCCAGCCCTCTTCAGATTCATGTCCTCTTTAACCAATCATTCTTAAAATTACAAAAGCTATCTAAAGTTACGAAGTTATTACTGTGTCCTCTGGTGTACAGTCCTCGGGGGAATAGTTGTTGAGTTTTACAGGAGTCATACTGTCTCGTTTTTTCACATCTATTTCTTTGGTTTGATGCCAAATCATTGGCTGGGGAGTTGTCTCAGCATTCAGGCAGGACAATGTGTGGTGGGCTGAGCTGCTACTGCTCACCACTGGCTGGGGGTATGGCTCAGTAGCCAAGCATTCATTCATGCTCAGGCACTGGTCCCAGTTGCAGGAATTGCTCAGATAATGAATGCGAAGCAAACTGCAATCGTTTATGGAAGTGTCTGCCATCTATCTGCTTGGGAGCGTTTTCACTGCAGAACTTCCCTTCTTTGTGTATGGAAGCTTTAGGTAGCTGCAGATATTTTCACAGCCTATGGGCCAGACAGTTTTCTATTTGTTCCAAAAGGGCCCCCTTCCACTCATTACTAGCTTGTTTTTCTAGAATCAACAAATACCCAGGCTTAAGAGTGCTCCCCAAATATGCCACAAAGTGTTGTGCTGGGGGGGTACAGAGTACTGAATTCTGCAGATGAAGAATTAAGGCCTCTCAGCTTCTGACATTCATGCTTTCAGACCCTGCTACCAATCTCCTTTCTGTTGGCAGGAGGCAGAAACTAGAGAAATCACGAGGTTTTTAAGACCTGGGTCTTGGGTTCTTGGTTCCACCTGCTAGAAATCCTCACTGGAATGTAGGTTCTACAAGCAGGGTTCCATGGCCTTAGATCCCACCCAGAATGTCTCAAGTAGACACTCCTTTGCTTCTTAACAATCTACTAGCCTGTTCAGAGAAGGACAGGCAAACTTTCCAAGTTCTTCCATTCTTCCTGAGATGAAGGAAGATGTGGAAACCATGAGGTTCAGAGGGTCGAGGCTTATGTCCTTGGAGGGGGGGGAGGGGACCTTCCTTAGCTAGACACAGTTTCCAATGGCTAGTCTCCGTGTTTTGGAACTGCTGGATGTTTCAGTGAGAGTAGACACAATGGAGCATACTCTAGACAGCAGCCATCACTGAAATGCATAAAGATTAAAAAAGAGGACTCAGAACACTAAGGTTTAAACTTGGCTGTTAAACTCTGGCTTGAAGCAACCCTAGTTTAAGCACTGAGCTTGGATTTTAGAGTCTGCAAGGCTGGATAGTGGGTCCCTTCCTGTCATGGGTTTCAAAGAGACAGTGACTTCCTCTCGAGAAAAGGAAATGATCATTCCAAATCACAGAAATGCTGCATGAGATGATGACCTCAATAAATACTAACTACTTTCTGCTGGGTGGAAGGAACGACGCTGCTGCTACACGTAGCTCGTGCTGTGCTGGAGCCATGTGGACAGCTGAGAAGCAGCAAGGCTTCCTGGGGAGGCAGGCATGGCCAGACGCTGTCTGGAGCCATCGATGGTCCTGCAGCCCTGCGTGTGCACCAAGAAAAACCTAGGTAACTATGTCCAGAGAGAAGAGGAAGCCAGGTAGTAAGCCCTTTGGGCTCAGCTGCCCAGGGCTCACGGCTGCATCTCACTGTGCAATTAGGATCTCTCCTAGAATGCTACTTAGGTCCTTGGCTCACAGCTCACACAGTGGACTCCTGCTGTGGGGATCCGCCCCCCCACAGCAACAGGGTCACTTTTCAGCAGCCCTTCATCTTCACAGGACAACAGGAAGCTCCTGGCAGTGAGGAGGCTTTGACGGGAGCAAAGGGCTGTGCTGCTGTGGTGTGGGTCAGACAGAGCAGTAAGGGAAGCAGGACCTGGGCTGTGGGGCCAGGACAGGCAGTGAGGGCCACTGCAGGGGACACAGATGCCCACTGCTGTGTGGAAAGGAAAGGTGTGGACTTCCTTCTTCTTCTCCCCTGTCCACTGGCTCAGACAGCAAAGGAGCAAGCAGCAGAAACCACAGCTACTTCAGAAAGCAACCTTTATCTCCATCTATTCCTGCTTCTGCTCCTGAGTCCCAGGGGCTAATCTCCTTCCTAAGTGCAGGCCAGGCATAAGCCATTAACTCATAACTCAGTGATCAGTTTTCAAAATGCCCAGAAAATAGAGAAATATACAAAAGATTTTGAAGGGTAGAAATGATGCTGTCCTGCTTTAGTTGATCTTCTAAACATGACCCCAGTTGCAGCACAAAACCAAAGAACAGAAGTTCCAACTTCAGTTAACGAAAACAAATCATGTAGCTGAATCATTAGGCTTGACCCCAAAGTGCAAATGAAGCCTTTGAAATAGAAGAATGGCGATAGTTTTCCAGATTTATTCAGCCCCATCAGACTGAACAGTAAATCACACCATCCAAAGCTGGTAAAAAAACAACAGCCTCCGCAAAGGGACAATGCCAGGAGACGCTACCCTCCGCATTGGGTAAAAGGTGGCTCATATATCACACATCTGTTACCTCATTTAATATGCTCTCTCAAGTAGACACTCCTTTGCTTCTTAACAATCTACTGGCCTGTTCAGAGAAGCCAGGCAAACTTTCCAAGTTCGTCTGGTCTTCAGGGTTTTAAGGCCACTTTTCTGTCACCTTGGCAGGCTGAGCTGGCCGCTAAGATCCATCAGATGCTGAGGACAACCACTGGCCTCACACAGACCCTCACCCACATGGTATTAGATGGCCAAGGTAAGAACAAACAGGCAAACGCTTCCGTCACACAGGTGAACTCCCAACAATGAGGCTAAGGAGCTTGAACTCACCTCCTTTAGATTAAATCCCAGGGCTTTATACTAATATTGAAGAATCGGATGCATTCACCTTTGCTGCCCAGAACAGAACAAAGTTATCTTTTCGTTTTTGTTGTGACCCAGGACTTGATTTACTGGGACTTTTGCCAACTGCAATGCTCAGTACATAGTTAGAGCTATATTATATTCTATATTATATTATTATTATATTTACTTATAGTCTTGAAAAGTATGTACAAATGAACTCTTCTTAAACCTGAAGCTAAGCTGTCACCATGTTGGCAAGACTCCCCCTTCCAATGTGAGCGAGGGAGGAGAACGGGAAGCTGATAGAAGCACCTAGGAGAGCAGGCCTGAAACTCCAGGGCAGGGGGGACTTGGAGGGGGCTGGCTCCTGGGAAGAAGGGTCAGAACAAAGTCATGTTTTACACTGTAAGTTCTTCTGTCCAAAGCCTGCACTCGGTGCCTGCCACACAGGCAGGGAGGGGCTGCACACTCAGCATGGAAGAACTTCAGAAGAAACCCACGTTGGGCTAGAACCCTCCATTCTGCACACAGAAAATGGCGTACAAGCCTTTCCCTGTCCCGTGGAGAACAGGAGTGTGGGTGTGACATGCAAAGCGCCTGGTGCAGCCCGGCTCACTCCGCCCCTGCCTCTCCTGAACACCACTGTCCCACTAACAGTCCCTGCTCAAACCCAACGGGTGAAGCCCTGAGCCCATTCTGCTGTGGGGGTGTCAGGTTAGGTAGATAGTGAGGGTAGGATCTCATGATGCAATGACTGCTCTCCTCCTAGGAGAAGGCCAGAGCCTGCTGCCTCCCCCGTGTAAGAACTCAGTGACAAGAAGCCAGGAAGGAGCCTGAAGTGGAGGTGCCCACTCTCAGACTTCCTGGCCCGAGCCCTGAGACAGACCAGGACATGGCCCTGGCTGTGGTGTCCCAACCCAGCAGGGAACCTGACACCACTCCCCCCAACAAACCCAACGCCTCGGCCCGGCTGACCCCAAGCCCGCACCCAGCTTCCACCGCCTGCACTGCTGACGAAGCTCCTGCCTCTGACACCATCACACCGCAAATTCACCTCTGCACACACACAGAATAAGATCCCTGCTGCTGGGCATCGGTGGCTCATGCCTGTCATCCTAGCTACTCAGGAGGCTGAGATCTGCGAATTGCGGTTTGAAGTCAGCCCCTGGCAGGAAAGTCCATGAGACTCTTATCTCCAATAAACCACCAGAAAACCAGAAGTGGTGCTATGGCCCAAGTGGAAGAGCACTTGCCTTGAGCTGAAGAGCTGAGGGACAGCGCCCAGGCCCAGAGTTCAAGCCCCAGGAATGGCACAGAGGTGTGGGGGGAGAGAGAAAAGAAAAGAAGAGAAGAGAAGAGAAAGACCCTACTGCCATGTTCTTCCATCTCAGACATAACTGCCTTCCTCCCTGGAGGAAATGGCCTCTCTGTTGACGCTCAGGCCCCGCCCCCGGCCCCGTACTCACATCCAGAGACTCCAGGCAGTACCAGCAGAAGGCGTGCTTGCAGTTCTTGCACATCATCTGTGCGCAGCCCTCATCCCGCTCGATGTACACCTTGCACTTGGGGCACCGCTTGATGGGCGCATCGGGCTCTTCCATCTTGAAAGCAGAGCTGTGTGTGACAGTCAGTGAAGGCCGGTGTGCAGGGACTGCCAGCACCCCGCAGCACCACAGAGCAGCAGGTCGGACCACCCGGTGAGCCCTGCTCTACTACAGGGACCGTGTGTGTACACGCGCGTGTGCACGCGCTCATGTGCATGCCAGTAGTGGGACTTGAACTCACAGCCTCACCCTCCCACTGAGCTTTTTATTTCAAGGCTAGCACTCTACCACTTGAGCTATACCTCCGCATCTGGCTTTCTAATGATCAATTGGAGATAAGAGTAGCACAGACTTTTCTGCCTGGGCTGGCTTTGAGTCCCCATCCAAAGATCTCTGTCTCCTGACTGGCTTGAATTACAGGCACGGGCCACTGGTGCCCAGTTCTGGCTCTTATTACTAAAGGAAATAAAATGAAACAAAAAATCTGAAACTCCAAAAACCAAGGAAAGCAATGAATCTGTGTGGTGGACTAAAGATAAGGAGCATTAGCACATATCTAAATCCAGAGACGTATAGAAAAAATAAAATAAAATACAGCAAGAGGCGTATAAGAGAGGCATCTCAGTCATGGTGTCCTGGCCAAATACTATATCCTTATTCATACCTGCTGGTACTTTTCAAAGGTTGGTAGTAAGTTTTAGGTACTTTGCTGGGGTCAGAATAAAGTAAGTTATGAACACACACCCCAATACACATATTAATCCACCTGTTTTAACTGACAGTGCTGTTCTCTGGGAAATGCTGTCTGGGTTTGTGTGGCCATGAGCATGAAGAGAGTTACGCCTCAGGTGGAAGAGATCTTTTGGGCCTAACAACTAACTGGCAGCAGGAAAAGGCCAGGCAGACTCCTCCATTGCCTGTCTATGACCTTTGCCCCGAGCCACTCTTTCCTGCGGTCACTGCGCAGCCATCTTGGAAGCAGACAGAAGAAAGGAGCAGACAGAATATCTGACCAGCTGCCAGGTGCAATGGCTCTTCCTGTGACACGGCTGCTCCTGACCAGTCTGTCAGATGACCACAAGACTGGCTCAACCCCCTCAGAAGCCACCTCTGAGCGCGCTGGAGATCCGGCACTATTTAACTCTGAACACTTTGCTCATCCAAACTCATTTATCCCTCACACTTGGAGCACTGAGCCGAGAGCCCTCACACCTGGAGCACTGAGCTGAGAGCCCTCACACCTGGAGCACTGACCCTAGAACCCTCATACCTGGAGCACTGACCCTAGAACCCTCATACCTGGAGCACTGACCCTAGAACCCTCACACCTGGAGCACTGAGCTGAGAGCCCTCACACCTGGAGCACTGAGCCAAGGGCCCTCACACCTGGAGCACTGCTCTAGAACCCTCACACCTGGAGCACAGAGCCAAGGATCCTCACACCTGGAGCACAGAGCCAAGGATCCTCACACCTGGAGCACAGAGCCAAGGATCCTCACACCTGGAGCACTGAGCCGAGGATCCTCACACCTGGAGCACTGACCCTAGAACCCTCACACCTGGAGCACTGACCCTAGAACCCTCACACCTGGAGCACTGAGCCAAGGGTCCTCACACCTGGAGTACTGAGCCAAGGGCCCTCACACCTGCAGCACTTAACTGCGACCTCCACCCCTTCTGAGTCCCTCCCTCTATCCAGCTTGTTCCCCCCACCCAGGAAGAACAGACTGGCTGACAGTTCTGCTCATCGGGGCAGCTGGTTTGATGAAAGCATTCCTCCTGCTCGGAGCCCAAGTCCCACACAGCAAGGCACACGCTCGTCGTGGCTCTGAGCTTTCGGCTGGTGCTCCTCCGTGTGGTCACACCTCCAGCCTTTTGCTGCTTTAATTCCTTTTTCCAGATGGTTGCTTTCCACCCCCTGGGATGGAGTTGGCCTGAGACCCTCCTACCTGTGACTTACCCATAGCTTGCCTTACAGGCATGTGTGCCAGCCTCATGCTCAATGCTCCTGATCTTTGCCTCCTGAGTAGCTGGGATTAGAGGCATGAGCCACGTGCCCAGCCCTAAATTCTTTTCAATTTAAAAGCAAACTGCAGGCCAATGTGGCCTCACAGACTGTCCCTGAGAATGGACAGGGGCTGTCGCTACAGTCAGCGTTTAAAGTGCACCTCCCAGTTCCCAGGCTTCACACAGTCTCTAGCAAAGAGTCCTCACAAATTAACCATCAAATAGGAAACAGTAAGTCTGAATGAGACACAAGAAGAAGAGCAGATGCAGAGGCTGGTGTACAGACAACAGCATCCTCTGGGGGCACCTTCCGGAAGGTAGCACCCCTCCTTCCCTGAGGCCCGCCCTGCCTCCACCCAAGGCAGCCGCGCTCATGGAGGGTACCTGGTCTCCCCAGGAAGGAAGGTGATCGGCATGGACTCCGAGCAGCCTTGGCCAGGGTGCCAGCTGGCTTTGCAGAGGGAGCAGAACTCGGTGCTGCAGGCTTTGCACTGTACCCGCTGCGGGGTCTGGAGCGCCGGGTCCTGTAGCTGGCATACCGCTTGGCAGGAGGACACAGGACACCATGTCCGGCAGGGGTCGAAGAGCACCTCTGGCAGAAGGAGAGAGCACAGGCACATCAGACGCAGCAGGACACGGGACCGGCCCCAGCAAGACACTGCCTAACCCGCCCAGCGGTGAGGAGGCCCGGAAGTGCCCTCACACAAAATCAGCCCGCTTTCTTCCTTGGTGCTCCCTGACCCCCCCAGCTTCCTCCCTGGCACCCTCAGGAAGCTGCCCTCACAAGGGCTGGTCATGCCCGTGGCTTTCTGTATGCCCTCTTGCTCTGCAGGCCGGGCTCACAGCCCTCAACTGGAGTCCCTACACTCTGCAGAGCTGTGCCTGCCTGACAGGCTGGGCTGTCTGCAGGCAGCACCATGACTCCATATCTGTCTCTTCTCCAACCCCCCAGGACTCAGCCTCCTGAAGTGAGGCCTGCATCCCCTCTTGGATCCTCACAAAGAGGCCCCATGCTCAGACAACACCAGCCCTCAGACGCGATCATTAGAAGACGCACGGGAAGGAAAGGCGACGGCTGGATTATTCTTCCAACCAGATACTTCATCTGCCTGTCTCCTCTCCCGGCGTGATGAGTAAACGCAGCAGCAGGGTTTACCTCTAGACTTACACCCCAGTCACTAGGAAGCCTGATTTAATGGAATTAGTCAGGAGGTTTATTTTGAAAAACAGGATACAGTGCCACTCCTATTCCTTCACAACGCTGTCCAAAGCCATGTTTAAATAGAAGGTCCTGAACTGCCCTTCCTAGGCAGCCTGGCTAGAGTTTCATTGCCTGCCGCCCACCCGTCCTTCTGTGCAGCTGACACTGAATTTTCATGAGGCCCGGGCACGGAACACAGGAGACCCAGCACACTGCCAAGCAGCCATCGGAGGCCAGAGGACTCGGCGCTCCTTTCAAAGGCTTGCAGCTAGGCCCAGGGTTCCATGGCTGATATCAGGGCAGGATGTAACCTCAGAAAAACCTAAATCCACCTGCGGAAGCTTGGATGGTCACAAAGGTGACTTACAAACTCCAGAGCTGCAGAGCTCTGCATCTGGCAGCCAAAGGATTTCAGCAAACCTGAGTGATGGACCAGGGACAGGCAGGGGCCATGGGAGCCCCATGGTCACCTGACACACCAGCACAGGACAGGCAGCAGCTCTGCCTCCAAGCTGTGTGATCACATACACGTATGCATGCACAATGACGTGCACACATGCGTGTGTCCTGTGGGTTTCACCATCCCCTAACACTGGGGAAACCAGAGTCCATGCAATGGCCTCACGCAGGGTGCAAACCAGGTAGAAGGCCGGGCGGGGATGAGTGAGCTGCGTGCACTCGGCCGGCTCGAGTCTGGGTGGCATCTGCTGGATTGGAACCTGTAAGTGAAGGTTCCAGGGGCCCTTAGTTACAGAAGCATGGGGTGGGGCTAAGCTCTGATCCTGCGTGAGCACCCCTGCCTCTTATCTGAAAATGGTGAGTGAACTCCTGAAGAATGTCATTGACGGGAGCACAGGGGACAAGGCAGCGCCGGGCAACACAGGCCTCAGGAGCCTGGGAGCTGCCTTCCTGTCTGACCGGCTTCATGGACCAGGCCAGACCCGCAGTATCTGACAGCCAACTGTCAGCTGTGGGCAGCTCCCACAGCCTCCAACCGCGGGACCCTTGTCCTGCCTGAGGGCCTGTCCCGTGCGCGTGCCCTTCTATGATGGCTCCTGGTTGCTGGTGGTGGGGACACGGGGCGCGGGGCAGAGAGCTGAGGGGACCCAGTCCAGGAGAGGAAGGAGGTGCGTACCCCTGTGGAACTGGGGTGCCAGGCTGCCTGCCACCTGGGAGAACTCAGGCCAGTGAGGGAGGGAAAGTTCTAGCCACTCGCCTAGCCCGGGAGCCCCAAGCCGCTGGCTCTGCCTGGCGGAACCTGTGTCCTCTGCTTTCACCCATGACTTTCCCTCCCCACGCACCTGCCTACCTTCCCCCTGCCTTCTCCCCCTGCCCGCTGCAGGGCAGAGCCCCAGACTACCCACACAGCTCCTCACGCACACTCCCTGGGGTGTCAGGCTCTGACCCGTGACACAGGGAAGACGCCCAGGTCCCGCTTCCTGCCCAATGAGACCCTGTGAGCAGTGCCTGCACACAGGAAGCGGCCTGCCTCAGACTCCCGGGGGCTGCTGTGATCTGCCCAGCCTCCCTGCGCCCCAGAAATCTGAGGTCTGGAGGGACCAGACACCCAGAGCTGGCCTTCTCCACGTCCCTCCCTGCGTTCACACAATGGGAAGAGGCCATCTCATCTCCCCTGCATGGAAGACCCTTCTCCAGGGTGTGGAGGGTAAGGGAGGCCTGGGGAGGGTTTCCATGGCGATGACTCCACTCCTGCAACCCTGACTGGTCCCATGGGGTTGTCACACGTGGAGAGAATCCACAGGGCAAGGTGGCCTGTCCAGGACAATCATCTGCCATCATGCCAGCTGCCGTCAGCCTTGCTGGGCTGCGGGGTACGTCCCAGACAGCATGGCTGGCAGCTCCAGGTTTAGATGTCTGCCAGCGCCCACCGTCCAGCAGCAGCTGCGGTGGGTACACAACGGCCAGAGCCCAGGCCTGCAGCAGGCCTCAGCCACGTGCTTTTTCCACAGTGTCTGTGGAAAACAGGGCCATGGCAAACCTGGCCCTCGGCGTGCTCTGCGTCTTCCAGAGCACATTTCTCTACTGTATTTTGTTTACAGATAGGGGAAATGTTTGCAAACAAGGCAAACAATGTGTTTTCTGAAATGGCGGGAGAAACGACTCTTAATTCCAGCCTCCCATAGATGTGTTCGTGGCACTATAATTTGTGTTCGTGGCACTATAATAATCCATGTCATGCCGCAGTAATTCGTGTGTGGGAGACTGGAATTGTGGTTAATTTCTCAACTAACCTTAATGAAGCAAGCCCTCAAGAGATCTCTAATTATCAAAACGTCTGATGCTTCAAAGAAACCGCTGACTTTTTTGAAATCGATTTTACTTTTAAAGCAACCCCCCACCCCCTGCGCCCCTAGTCACAAACACTGGCTGCCATTGTGCTGCCTGCCTGGAGAGCGGGGAGGGAGGGCTCACACATGTGTGGGGGAGGGATCTCAGGAGCTGTTGGTTCTTATCAGAACTGTCAGTGGTCAGTGGTGGGCACACCACATACTGCTTCCCTTCTCTGAGCCTCCCTTTCTTACCCTTTTCCCTTCCTTTCCTTCCTCTTCCTCTTCCCTCTATCTCTTTCTTCCTACCTTTCTTTTTCTGTTGAGCCAGTACTGGGGCTTGAACTCAGGGACTGCGCACTGTCCCTCAGCTTTTTTGCTCAAAAGCTAGGAACGCTCCACCACATGAGCCACAGCTCCATTTGTGGTTTTTGGTTGGTTAACTAGAGATACAGTCAGTCTTAGGGACTTTTCTTCCCTGGCCGGCTTTCAACTGCGATCCTCAGATCTCAGCCTCCCGAGTTGCTATGGCTATAGGTGTGAGCCATGGGTATCCACCTAATTATGCTTTCTTTAAAAAAAAAAGTCCTAAAGCTAAGATTCAACTTCAGCCCACCTTGGACCAGCGCCTCTACCTAGGTAGGTTAGAGACCTCCAGCAGCTCCATCCCTATGTGGCTAGAGGAGCTTCCAGACAGACATATGGACATGGAGAGAAAACACCCCTCCTTGCAGGTGGTCATGCAAACAGACGCAGCAGGGTGGGCACAGCTGGGCCTCGCCAGGCCTGGCCATCACTCCACGGACGTGTGAACCAGCCAGCCACCACCGGGGAGGGCAGGTGCTCAGGGAGAAGAGGAAGCCTGTCTGCCCACCTCCCTCCACTTCTGCTGGCCAAGGTCTGGGCTGGGGAAGTAGAGAGGTGTACGGGAAAATCCAGGCTAAGCCAATGTACCAGGGCAATGCAAAGACATGGTGGCAACTTAACCTCGCTCTTGAGCTTTGTGAATGTTGTTGGAAAATCATTGAAATTCGTCTCCTCCTAAGACCTCCTCCTCTGACTGTGCTGGCAGGGAGGGAAGGAGGTAAACATTTACCTTCTTTCTGGTGGTATCTCCAGGCTTGTGCAAGGGCCCGGATGTAATCCAAAGCCATATTTTAACTTCCAACATTCTCACATTTCATTTAGACAGCACTTTTGCAACATGTCTAAGTCCTTCATTTAAAAAAAAATAAACCTTTAGTGTAACGTTTGTAAAATATTTTCAAGGGAGAGGTTTGAGGGGTATTTTCCTAACCTAAGTCAAGTTGGCTTCACTTTGATGCAAGATAAAAGAAAAAGTACTTTTAAAAAAGCTAAAATTAATAGGTAGGAAAATTTACCCAGCTGCATTTTAAAATTAATTTCATGTCATTGAAAGTTCATACTCTTATAACTCAAATAACCCCTCCCCCTCCCCACAGTTCCTTTCAAGTTTCTCTCTGGATAATATTTTCAGATGAGGGCAAAAGTCCCAGAAATCCAAGTTAGTTGATTTATACCTAACCATCCTGAATTTAGCACTGTATCACATTATAGTTAAGGTATAAACTTCCACAAAGCAAATGATATATGGCATTTGAAGACGTGGTTTTCAGGCATCATCATGCATGCCTGTAGTATCAACTAACTGGGAGATGGAGACAAAAGGCAATGCTGGAGGCCAGCCTGCACAAAAATGTTCATGAGGTCCTGTCTCAAAACAAGCCAGGTGTGGTGCTACGCTGGTGTAAATCCCAGCAAATGGAGAGGCAAGGATTGTGGTTCAAGGTCAGCATGGGCAAAAGGCAATCAGCGCCAAGACCCCTCAACGGTTTAACAATTCCAATGTCCAGAGAATGTCAGGAATGTACTCCTCCTTTGCTTATTTTTCCTGTACTCTCTCTCTTTCTTGACTTTTTCATTGATGACTAGTGCTCTACCACTTGAACTACATCTCCACCTCCACCTTTTTGCTGGTTAATTAGCAATGACAGTCATAACAGACTTTCCTACTCAGGCTGGCTTCAAACAAACGTTGGCCTTCAGATCTCAGCCTCCTGAATCACTAAGATCACAGATGTGAACCACTGTGCCTATTTTCCTGTAGCTTCTTACGGTTGTCAGCTGACAGATCCTCTTACCTCCCAAACAAAGCCCCCTCAAACGAGCCACATTCTGGTTCAGACATCATAGCTGGATCATTTTCCAGGCCACCTACCTCTTTCAAATTGTAGCTTTTTATATCTTTGCATAATTTCAGCTGCAACCATGCACTCGATCTAAAAGAAAAAGACATGAACAAGTTGTGTAACAAGCAGAGTGTAGGAATATAATGCAACATAACCCTCTCTGCGCCCTCTCCCCCCGGCCAGAAGCCTGGCAGGACAGGGCCTCCCACAATGCAGTGATCAACCACAAGCACACACACACGCACACGTACCTCACTCTCCTGAAGGTGGCCCTGTTTAGGACAGGCAGCGTCAGGACAGCTAATCGCAGTTTCTAGCCCTTCTTTGATCAAGAGCTCAACATACTGTTTCAGGCACTGGTAGAAAAACAGAAGAGAGTCTGTTAACATCTTTACTTCCTGAAAGCTGAGGACACAATGATGCACTCAGAGAACAATCGAAGCCAAGTGCCAGTGGTTCACACCTGTAATCCTAGTGACTCGGAGGCTGAGATCTGAGGATCATAGCTTGAAGTCAGCCCAAGCAGAAAATCCATGAGACTCTTCTGCCCAATTCATCAGAGGAAAGGCCTGAAGTGGCACTGTGGGTCACATAGTAGAGCACTAGCCTTGAGCAAAAGGAGCCCAGGGACATGCCCAGGCCCAGAGTTCAAGTCCTAGCCCAGGCCCAGCCAAAAAAAAAAAAAAAGATGGGTCAAGGGCTGAGGCTGGTAGCTCATGCCTATAATCCCAGTTTTAGTCAGAAGGCAGGGATGGGATGGAGGGATCATGGTTTGGAGCAAGGAGCAATTCCAGGGGAAACACTAGTATTTCACCCAATAAAGCTGGATGCGGTGGTGCATGCCTGTCATCTCAGCTAGACGGGTGGCACAGGTAGAACTGGGTGGTCATAGGCACAAAATACAAGACCGTGTCTAAAAACAGTGAAAGCAACAGAACTGAAGGTATGGTCCAAGCGATCCAGTGATTGTCTAGCCAGTGTGAGGCCCTGAATTCAAGCCTCAGCACTACATGTGTGTGTGTGCATGCACACATACCACCACCACCAGTCAAGTGTCCTATTCCTTATCATTTTATATTTTCCCTATGAAGCTCATTACAACCCTAGGTTCATTCATTTGGTGAGTATTTATGGGGTGTCTGCTCTGCATCGGGGTTAGGTCTGGGGATCGTGAGCTGAGGCTGGGGGACCCTCAGCACAGCTCCAGCAAGTCCACACCCAGCACCAGGGCACAGGCCGCCAGTGTGGTAGACAGCGAGCCTGCTCACAGGCATGGCCTGCGTCCACCCGGGCTAAGGTCCTGTGTCTTCTGCATACTTTCACTGGCACCCTTTGGTTGTACAAGAGGGCTTCACTCTGACACATCCACAAATGCCGACAATGATTAGAGACATGTTCCCTGGCACTGCCCCTCACCCTTGCTCCAGCGCCGTGCTACGTTCTTTATCTTCCATTCTTGTAGTTAACCCTTAGAACACTGAGGAAAGGCCTGGCCATCTCATCATTCTGTGAAATTCCACCACCCAGTAAGGAACCCATTGCTTTAACCAGATGTGAGCTCACATTTACTTGGCTGACACACACATGCTTTCCTGGAGGACCAGGTCATGTGCAACCGTCCATCATGGCATCCTGGGCCATTACTGACCCCTGACCTTTCCTGGAGGGCAAGATAGAAAATCTGAATGGAGCCAGTCAAGGACAAGCACAAGCTAATGGGAAATACTTCGTGGCTCTTCTCAGTTCTGATTTGCTCTTGCTTTATAAAGTATACTAGCCTTAGAAATTCAATGTTTAACTGAAAGCTCATTTTTCCCCCTTTTTTGTACCAGTTCTAGGGCTTGAACTCAGGGCCTGTTGTTCTTGTTCGGTGTTGTCACGGAAGGTAATATGAAACATACTTCCACTTCTAGGTTTTTGCTGATTAATTGGAGGTAAGAATCTTATCTCTGCTGGGTGCCAGTGGCTCATGCCTGCAATCCTAGCTACTCAGGAGGCTGAGATCTGAGGATCACAGTTCAAAGCCAGCCCAGGCAGGAAACTCCATGAGACTCTTATCTGCAATAAACCACTAGAAAACTTGAAGTGGCTCCATGGCTCAAATGGTAGAGCACTCGCCTGGAGCTGAAGAGCACAGGGACAGCGCCCAGGCCAAGAGTTCAAGCCCCACGACCGACAAAAGAAAAAAGAAAAAAAAAGATTATCTCATGGACTTTTCTGCCTGGACTGGCTTTAAACTATGATTCTCAGAACTCAGCCTCTTAAGCAGCTAGGATGACGGGTGTGTAACACTAGCACCAGTGACAATCACATGATAAAGAATGAGGAGAGAAGTGTCTTCCCTGGGGAAGCTCACTTCCACAGAAGACCAGACACCTCACAAGATCACACCAGATCAATTTCTGATCACAGTCCCAGGCTGACGATGACACACACAGCAGCAGCACTGGTGTGGTATTATAACACAATTAAAGTACTGAGCAAATTCGTCAAGAAAAACACTTACGCTGCGTGCACTCCTAAGCCTTACCTCCTCCTAAGATACAGACTGCATTCCACTACACAAAGGCAGATAAAGGAAGGGGCCATTTGCTGTTCTCCCCTCCACCACTCTTGTTTCTCATCTGCAATCTGGAATAATTTTGTCTACCTTAGGTGGAGTTGTAAAAGAGCCAAAAAATACACGGGGAAAAAACATATGCTTAGTATGTAAAGAATAATTTCATCAAATATTGTAGCAAAGCAGAATATTTCCTTCATCAAAGACTCCAAGCTGGCTATGGTAGTTCCAGCCTGTAGTCCCAGCTACTCAGCAGGCAGAGCAAGAGAGAATCTTGGTCTGAGATGGATGCAGACAAAATGTTAGCAAGACGTCCTCTTTAACAGTAGAGCTGAGAGTGGCGATAGGTTTCTGTCATCCACTGTGTGAGGCAGAGGTGAATAGGAAGTTGTTGGTCCAGGCCAGACCAGGAAAAAGCAGGATGCTCTTAGAAAAATAATGAACACACAAAGGGCTGGGAGAGTAGTAGTAGTTCAAGTGATAGATTGCCTGCCTAGTACATTCAAGGCCCTGAGTTCAAAACCCCGATGGAGTTCTGGATGGCAATTTCTTTAAAAAGTGGAAATCAAGGCCATCTTCGAAGGGCCATCTTCGAAGGGCCATCTTCAAGAACCATTTCTGAGGGCCAAGAGAGGCCCTGAGACTCTACCCAGCTCAGCCTAGCCAGCCGACCGCAGTGGCCCAGAACTTGGATGGCTCCCAGACGCACCTACGTGTAACCCATCATTGTATACGAGCCTGAGCTCGCGTAGACAAGCCCAGTCTCGGGGTCATTAGAGGCGTGCGATCGGACAGCTGTCATAACCACCAACATGAGGTCTCCCGGTGGGCCAGGGCACAGGACCAGGGAAGACAGGGGTGTCTCCAAATCTCCATCAGGGCCCACCCCTGGTGACAACTTAGCTAAGGCATTACAAGGTTAGATGTCTGGGTTTCAGGGGTGAGAATGGCTTGCTTACAGCTGTTCACAGCTGGCAGAGAAACGGAATGTCTTGTTTGTGATATGGGTACCGGAAGGAAGGGGAACTGCCCACAGGGGCACTGGGAGTTTGCTGCTAGACAGACTCAAGCGAACCCGGTCCTTCTAGACGGTCCACAGAGCAGGTATGTGGTATGTGTGGGTCACAGCTCCCAAGACAGTAAGGTGGTACACTTGGAGCAATTCCTAGAGCACAGAACCACCCAAAGTGTCTGTTACCTCATCCATCTTTCTCTGCGACCAGTTTCTTACAGGTACAACCCTCAGCAATGAGATCGTTATGACTTTCTTTAATTAAGTTTGTCTGCATGGGGTCTCTGGAGGATAATGGGATGTCTCAAAGCCGTGGAATGCTGAAAACTGTCAATATTGGGCAGAGCAGTCTATAATGACAGAACAATACTCTCCCTAAGAAGCAAAATACAATTAACGCTGGTATGAAGGCTACACCCTGGGGAAGAGTGTAAACACCATTGTTCAAGAGCCTGCATACGGCAAGCAGAAGTGAGTCGCATCTGGATGAATGCTAACACACAGAACTTGTACACCATCAGAACACAGCTCTGTGCAATATGCACAGTAATTACACCCATTTGTTTACGGCATAGGGACGGATGAGGGTCGGCAGTTCTGACCCTGCCACCATCAAACTGGCAGTGTTCTTCCAGTTACAAAGCAGGTCATGACTCACAAGCCATATTTTCCAATCTAATAGCAAAAAGATGTCTTGAAATAAGTACAGTACAATAAGTAAACAGAGAAGCATCTGCAACAATAAATATGCAATTCCAAAGCAAAGACGAATGCAGTTCTCCATTACTGCATCAGCAGCTTTCAGCATCCCAGTGTAAGTACCAGATTCGCTGGGTCAGTCACTTTGTCTAGCTTAGCCCGATAAACAGGCATGAGAATTGTGGATGGCATTAGGGGCACCACTGTTTTCTACTTGTGAGAAAAACAAAAACAAACACAAGGATCAGGAAAGTTAAAAACCCAGTGCAAAGTCAGCTTTCTAAGTCCAGGCACTCCGGCTTCAAGCCCGGTTCGCCTAACTCCAAGTTGGAAAGCTTGTGTACTTTGTTTTCTAATTGCCTCCTTTTACTTCAGTGATGGGGGAGAACAAAGGAAGGCTTGACATTGGTCAACATGTGTGGCAATCAGAAACAGATATGCTGAGTTGAAACCCCTTTGGATAACTAGTTAAAGATTTTTTTTTTTTAAATTCTAAAGAACTCTGTTTTGTGTGCATGGTGATACATGCTTTTAATTTTAGTACTTGAGAGGCTGTTCAAGGCCAGCAAGGGTTACATAGCAAGACTCTACCTACAACAAATCTAAAAAGTAAAGAAGAGAGATGAGAAGGGAAGGATAGAAAGAGGGAGGTAAGCACTGTTGGAGGTGTAGTAGTGGGAATGGGAGGGCTAACTAAGAGGGTGAAAGGGTGAACAAGTTCAAAGTAGTCTGTTTGCCCATTAAAAATAGAACCACTGAGGGGCTGGGAAGGTGGCTCAGTGGTAGAGCACTTGCCTTGCATGCCTGAGGCCCTGAGTTCGATTCCTCAGCACCTCATAAGCAAAAAGAAAAAGCCGGAAGTGGCGCTGTGGCTCAAGTGGTAGAGAGCTAGCCTTGAGCTGAAGAGCTGAGAGACAGCGCCCAGGCCCAGAGTTCAGGCCCCACGACCGGACCAAAAAATAAATATATATATATATATATATAGAACAACTGAAATTGTCTTAAGACAGGGAATGGGATAAGGGAGTGTGATCGATGGGCAGGGAATTTGGGAATGTCACAACGAATCCTCCTGCCCTGTACAA